TTTTAAGAATAACGAAGATGTTCAATATTTTAATGTTGTCGTATTACACTTCTAGAACCTTATCCAATTTAAGAAAAAGTGTATAGGGCAAACCATGAATCAAAAAATTAACTAACTTTGTACATCTACCTGACATGCGAATCCAATTTGCATACTGTCACAATCACCTGTGACCCATCTACCATTTGCTGCTCCACTGATCATCATAAGTACACATTCACCAATTCCGCTAGGGTTACCTCAAACCAAGAATTCAAAGATTAAAACATTCTTCACAGAAGTTTAAGCGAGAACTGGTCCTCATAACATTTCATAATTGTTTGATTGTTTAAAAAGAAACGATCCGCTTAGCTACCTGGGTAGAAGGCATTGTACGTCGCTGGGGTGCCCATGCCATCAACCCATCGGCAATTGTTCGCGTTTGTGTCTGGACAATTCAGGCCCAACCAAATCACAGTACCAGCATTTTGCCCTAATTGTTGAACTAAGCTGTTAGCCTGTAAGAAATAAGGACTAAATCAGTCAATTAGGGAAAACTGCAATGATACACGTCAGCAACTAACAAAAGCATTGTGAATTGAGGCTAAATGACCACCATCGCTAAGACATTTAGCTGAAGCGTCACGGTAGCTAGAGTGAGTGTCGTAAACCTAAAATAGTACAATGAGGAATCTAGAAGATGGACCAAAGTCAGTTATTGCATACCTTATAACATAAACTATCGGTTCCAATAACATAGCCAGATGGACAGTTAAGGGCATTTACTGAAATTTATAAAATACTATTAACACACAACATATTTACATAGCTACACAACTTAATTACTACTTCGTTTACAAGAAAAAGAAATAATGGCAAATGAACCAGTGTTCTTAAGACTGACGAGTCGACAAAGTCTTTCAGCAAAATTCCAAAAACTTGAAAACATGATCTTGCCTTCAAACATTTGAATTAGGCATTAAATTTCTTCATCATTTACAACCGATTCTTCAATTGAATACCAGATCTGGTACACTTTTGTAATCTACTTTAATAATATTTGTAATTTGCTGTAGATTATCTCATCGTCTTCAATCGCATCAACAACGTTTTTAATTAGACGTTAGTCGAAAGATTTTTGTCATCATCCGTTAATTTTACCTTCAATGGTTTTACACAAAAAAAATTTTTGAGTTTAAAAGTGCTCTTTTTTTCCATAAGGACGCCATGTAAAATGCAAAATATATAGTGTGGAGT